AGAGCCAATGGAGAGGTATTGCCAAGAGCCAATGGAGAGGTATTGCCAAGAGCCAATGGAGAGGTATTGCCAAGAGCCAATGGAGAGGTATTGCCCAGAGCCAATGGAGAGGTATTGCCCAGAGCCAATGGAGAGGTATTGCCCAGAGCCAATGGAGAGGTATTGCCCAGAGCCAATGGAGAGATATTGCCCAGAGCCAATGGAGAGATATTGCCCAGAGTCCTGCATCCTACAGGGATGTGAGTAGTCCCATAAGGTAGTGCTTCTCCTGCCCTCCTGTGCCCCCCACCCCCCTAAGGGGAAGCTGACAGGTATCCACAGTGACTACAGGGTGGTAGGACTGGTCTTGTGCCTTCCCATGGACCAGCCTTCTGTAAATACCTCTATATGGCTCTTCCTGAATCATAGAGCTCCCTCAGGACAGAGCAACCTTTCACTCTACAGTGACTCCCTCAGCCACTCACTATTGCCTATGGGGACATCTAGTGGCAGATTGGCATACTGCAATCCTCAATCCACTCCCCTACAGTACTATTACCTCCCATTTATACACAATGGGGGGAATTGATCAAAAATACCAATCAGCATCTCTGTTCAGTGTGCTCAGGTAAGATTTGAAAATGAGAGAGAGAGGCTGATTGGTTGCCATGCACAGGTGCTCCACATTTAGTCTGCTTCAGAATTGATCAATTCCTCCCAATCTGTGCTGCAGAACTTAATTAGAGGTCCATTTGCACCGGCAGCTCTCTCTTAGTTCCCCTGCAATTGCTGTTGATCCTGCCACTGAGGTCCATATCATGCAGTTTCCTGTGATGGGATGGCAACAATATTACACAGCTCCTAAACCCGTAGCCGAGTTGTCTCCCTCATGTAGGGGGCGTGGCTATCTGCATTGTCACTGCTGATTTAGGAGCCTGTAATTTGTCAATCAGCACCTAGCCACACCTAGTCCCGCCCACTGCTTTCTGGATTGACAGCACTGCCCCTGCTGCTTGAAACCCTCCCACTGAGAGCTGCAGTGTCTGGGAGGGGGTAGGGGTGAGACATAAATAATGGAAGATTTGGCTCAGTCAGGGAAGGTAAAGGAAGTTTTGGTGACTTTACGATGTTTGTGGATCGCATTGTAATTGGATTTAGGGTTTGTTTAGGTTGTCATACAGAAGTCTTTAGTTGTAAATCTCCCGAACACACAAACAGGCCCATACTATGCCTGACCCGACCGAGTTAAACCTTCACCCTCAGAGGAGTAACTAAGAATGTGTATAGTCAAACTAATTAGTAATGTACCTTCCATACCAGGGTCAGAGAAAAGAATAGGTTGAGATTCAGGAATGTGCAACAATATAACCCAAATCACAAGCCCAGAACTAAAAAATATTATTATTATTATTATTACACAGGATTTAGCGCCAACAGTGTGCGCAGCGCTGTACAATATAAGGAAAACATTACAATCACAATACCATTCAAGACAAGATGGTAAGGAGGGCCACGCCCCTGAGGGCTTAGAATCTAAAAGAGGAGGGGCCAGTGATACAGGAGGAGGGAGCTGTGGGGGGATGAATTGTTTGAGATCGTGATGGTATGAACGCCAATGCTAGAATTCTGGCAAACAAACTAGAGGAGCTGGAACTTATGCTACTCGAAGAGGAGTACGGTATAAGGGGAATAACGGAAACTTGGCTGGACCGCTCGCATGGCAGGGCAACCAATGTACAAGGGTGCAATATGTGCAGGAGGGGCAGGGTGGGGAGGAGGGGGGAGGGGTATGAATGTACGTGAAAATCAATTTTACTGCGCACTTAAGGGATGACCTCATGACAGAAAATTGCGATGAAGTGGAGTCTTTGTGGCTAGAACTGGATAAGACTAATTCCAGTTGTAAACTGATTATGGGTGTGTGTCACAAACCCCCGAACATAAGAGAGGAGGAGGAGGCTCACCTACATTCCCACATAGAAATCACTGGGAAGCAGGAAATGTTGTTATAATGGGTGACTTCAATTATCCGGACATTGATTGGTCACATGGGAGAACTATGAGGGGGGAGGGGCTTTTCACTCACCTCATAGTTCTAGCCGACCTGTGACAATGAGACTGTCACAGGTCGGCTCAGTAGATCGGGAGGTGAGCGAACACATACCGGCGTTCGCTCACCTCTCGATCCTATCACTGCTCTCTGCCATGACAGCGGAGGGACTGGATTCCCCGCTCCGATCCGCCAGCGCTCACGCAGCTGGGCGGATCCAGACATAATTGTCGGGATCCGCTTCAGCTGCGGCATCTCAGTATACCGCGAGCTACAGCTCCCTATATACTGAGCCTAGGCAGCGGTGTATTTACGTTTTGTGCTGCCCTAGGCAAGGGCCCCCCGACGGAACGGACAGACCATGCAGCGCTTCTCCTTCTCCAACAGCACCCCCCACGGACGGACCTTGCGCTTCTCAAACAGCACCAACCCCCCCACGGACGGACCTTGCGCTTCGCGGACAGCACCACCCCGGGAATGTCCTTGCGCTTCTCTACGACAGCATCCGCCACCCCCCGGACTGACTCACCGTAAATCAACGCCGCCCGCCGTCCACTCTCCAGACCGACGTCCGCGTCATCCCATCAGTGCCGCTCTCAGCGAATCTGCCGCTCCAGGCAAACGCCTTGTTTGCCTCGCGGCAGATACGCCCCTGAGCCTAGGGTGACAGGAGGACGATAGTTTGTGTCCCCCGTTACCCTGAGGAGAACTATGGGGAAAAGCCCTGACCCTATAGTTCTTCTTTAACCGCTTCAAGACCAGGTGTTACACCCCCTACCTGGCCAGGCCATTTTTCAGTGTTCAGCGCTGCGGTACTTTGACTGACATTTATTCCGTCATGCAACGCTGTACTGAAATGAATTTTATACCATTTTTTGGGGACAGATAAGAGCTTCCCTTTGGTGGTATTTAATCACCACTCGGGGGGTTTTATTTTTTACTATAATTAGGAAAAATTACTGAAAATTTTTTTTTTTTTACATTATGTTAGGAAATATTTATTATTACCCAGTTTTTTTGTCAAATATAAAAAAAGTCTCCAGCCGCGCACCCCCAAGCGTAAGGCTCTGTGCCTTGTGAGCCCAGTTTGACAGTCAGCAGAGGAGCTGACCTTAAAGGAGAACTATGGGGTTAGGGATTTTCCCCATAGTTCTCCTAAGGTCCACGGGAGGACACAAACTAGCGTCCTCCCGTCACCCAAAGCTCAGTATATTAGGGAGCTACAGCTCGCGGTATACTGAGACGCCGCAGCCAGAGTGGATCCCGACATTACTGTCTGGATCCGCCCAGCTGCGTGAGTGACAGCTGGCTCTGCCTATCTAGAGGCAGAGCCAGCTGTACCCGCCCCCTCCCCCGTCCGTTCCGCCAGACAGCGCTGGAGGATCGGAGCGGGGAGGGGGGAATCCCTGCAGGGAGGCGTGAGTGACAGTCACGGCTCTCTGCACGGATAGATCGAGAGGTGAGCGAGCGCCGGTATGTGTTCTCTCACTTCCCGATCTATTGAGCCGACCTGTGACAGTTTCATTGTCACACGTCGGCTAGAACTATGAGGTGAGCGATTTTCGCCTCATACTTCTCCTTTAAGGAGAAAGTTCTCTCTCAGGTCCTCCTCAGCTGATGGACAGCAGGCAGTGGAGGGGTGCAATAGCCACCCTGCTATAGCTAATAGCTGGCTAGCGATTGCACATTGTTGTAAAATGTGTATAATTAACATTGGCCAGTACTAGAGCAGCTGTAATCACTATAAACAGAAACCTGTATCACCAAAAATCACTATTCAATATTGTGCCCACACACCTTACAATGATCTGAAGATTTTCTGTGGTAAGATGGAAAAAGTGCAACAGATTGGCCCAGGTGGAGATTACTCCATGCATACAGGTAAGGCTGGGCACACACCTTACAACCATTGTATGACTCTTGTCTTGCGATGGTTGTAAGGTACTTTAAAAAAAAACGTACGATCTGCTCATCTTGGACAGGCAGATCGTACTTGCGATTATTGCAAGCCACGCCCCCTGAGGGGCGGGCTTCCGATGACCCCAATGCCGAATGGGCAGTGTGCGCTTGCGCACACCGGCCCGTCCGGCTTTTATCTCACGAACATGCTACACACCCGCCGAACATCATACGATGCTCGGCGGGTTTTCAAACATGTCCGTAAGTTTAAAGTCATGCGACCGTACAGTAGTAGAGGTCGCACGGCTTCCACACACCTTACGATAATCGTACGATCGCGGGATTTCCCGCAATTATCTTCGATTATCGCAAGGTGTGTGGGGACCTTAAGCATAGATGGAGGAATCTGTTGCACCTTTTCCATCTGACCACAGAAAGTCTGCAGATAAATTGTAAGGTGTGTGGGCAGCTTCACTAATATCAACATAGCGATTAGCAGTGGCGGAACTACCGCCGGTGCAGGCGGTGCGGAC